TGCACTGTCGGGCGCCCAAGTTGGGCTTTTGAATGTTTAGCCCATTTTTTTCGATCGAAAAGACGGAATTTTTACCTCGCTGTGTTCGCTATCCCGATCTTCATCCGATGAACTCATTTATGTTCGTATATCACACCAATAAGAATGATTTGTGAAGAAATCGTCTTGAGAGCAATTTTTTTTAGAGAGAGAGAGAGAGAGTTTTTTTGAACGGTAAATAGCAATTTTCAAACGGTAAAAAGCAAATCCCCATATTTAATAAACAAAGATGCTCTTTCTTTATTCGATAAACTAATAATAGATCAAGCCAAATTTTGGAGGTGGGCCCAGTAAAAAAATAATTGAATCAGCCCAATTTTGGAATAGGGCTCAGTAAACTAATAATTGAATCAGCCCAAATTTTGGAATTGGGCCCAGTAAAATAATAATAGATCAGCCCTAATTTTGGAATCGGGCCAGTAAGTAGCCAACTTAATCCCGATTGAAGTGGTTTGACTGATCTTGACCGATTAATTTAAACAGTCCAATCTTGGTCATCCATCTCTTGATTTATGAACCTAGGATCTAAAAAACACTTCTCTCTTCTCTCGGCCTTCCTCTCTCCATCTCTCCTCTTTTGTTGTATTTTTCTTGCTTTTTTCATGTTGTTTTACAGCGACTTCGTTCAACGCACGTCGCGTTGTAGGGGAAGAGCATTAATGAAAAGGAAACTTTGATGTTTTTGACCGTTGCTACATACATTTGGGCCGGGTTGAACCATATCAAATTTGGTTTCTACATACATTTGGGCCGGGTTGAACCATATCAAATTTGGTTTCTAAATACATTTGGGCCGGGTTGAACCATATCAAATTTTAGTACCCAATCAAAGCATGTGCACTACAAATGAGGATAACTCTTCATTTTACATATAAAAAAAATTAAAAATTAAAATAGTGTTTTTTTTTTTTTTTTTAAATAGAACGAAAACATTGTATTCAAGAAATTAGCACCACAAAAACGTGTTCATTGCATAGTGAGGGACCACAAATGTGTAGATACAAATATAAATGTATTGTGCTTACCTACCAACCATACGAGAGGATAACGAGACACTGAGATTGGAATTCCGGTCAATTAACACAAGCTCATTCGCTCCAATTGCTAGATCATCTTTACAGGACGACTGCGATTATATTTAAATTTACATGAAGGTTAAGTCCTCAAATATATAAAAATAGTCAATTAATATGTGCTCAATAATAATATAATCTACATAATTTTAGTTGGACCACCATAGATATATAGAATGTCAATTTTGTGCATGTCATCGAGCTCAACTAACCTTCAATTAAGTCCCCACCTACTATTCTTGCATTATTTTCTTTCTAATTTTAAAATGGATGTTCATTAAACTATTTGTATAGAATCAATAAGATTCACATTAATTGTTGTCACGTTTTATTTTAATTATGAAAATAAACTAAATAAGTTTTATATAATTTTTCGATTAGTGACATGCCAGCGCCATGTATATTAATTAATTAAATACTTATTGTATGATTGCTTAATTCGGATTCTATTTATTCCTTATAAAATATTTGCTCCTACTTATGATATTCTTGAAAACTCATACAACTTGCAGTTTAAGTTGTTTTGCCGTGTCAGCAATCCATATCCAAAAAAATAAAAAAATATTAATAATAATAATAAATAAAGATTGATGAACAATAAATTTATAAAGTTATTATACTATATAGATTAAATATTATAAATTAATGGGTAAGTTACAATGTCAAATTACGAAAAATTCCCGCGTGTTTGGGTAATTACAACTACTACCATCAACTATGAATCTTCTTACAGATCCATTATTCCGGTGTCAAATTTAGTAGAATTTTTTAAAATGTATGAAATATTCTCAAGTTTGTACTCGTTTTATCCCATTCGAGCTCCACATTTTGAAGCAAGATGATCATAAGATGTATTTTTGGCTTGTATATATCCGATTTTGGTGCATCAGAAACTGCATTTTTGCACAAAACGAGTACAAACTAGAGAACATTTCACGGAATTTAAAAGATCATGTTGAATTTGATACCATATGGTGAACAGTGTTAGAAGATTCATAGTTAATTGGGTAATTGTAATTACCCAAACATAAGGGGTATTTCGTAATTTGACCTTAGTCTTAGGTGGTTGTAAATTGTAATTTACCCTAAATTAAATTAAAAGAAAAACAAAATATTTATTTCATGAATGAGTCCAAGAGCCAATGCCAGCAATCCATTTTCATTTCCGGAGGTAGATTCACCGGCCATTATCCCCATCTCTGTACGGTGTACACCCACCCCACACAGGCATTAACACAAACACATAGCATGCATACATTTCTTCAGATCAAAATTCACACACAGTAGCACACACACACACACACGAACAAATGGCGGAGACGAATTCGTGCTGTTCATGGCTGAAAGCCTCGCTGCCCTTTCTGGGCATGGTGTCGGCGGTAACCGCTTTAGCAACCAACATGATCGTCAGCAAAATCGCCATGACCAACGGTACCAGCTTCTTCATTTTATCCGTCTACTCCAACGCTTTAGCCACACTCATTCTTTTCCCCTGCGGTTTCCTCTTGCACAGGTTCGGTTACCCTTTTTGACCTTCTGTAATTACCCGTTAATGGCAGTAATTAAATTTCTGGGATTAGGGTTTTTGATTTATATCAATGTATCTATATCATTCATTCGCAGGTCAAAGCTTCCTCCCCTCACATTCAAGATACTCTGCAGGATCTTCTTGCTCGGTTGCTTTGGGTCAGTCAATTTACGCCACGAATTCAATTAACATGATTTTGATTTTTTTTGTTTTCATGTTTAATTTGGTTACTGTTAATTCATATTCATAAATTATGCACCAGTTGTTTAGCAGATATTGGTAGCTATGCTGGCATAAATAACAGCTCCGCCACGCTTGGGACGGAGTTGCTGAATCTTGTTCCGGGTTTTACTTACATACTTGCTGTCATATTCAGGTTTACGACACTTCTCTTTTCGAAATCTCGTCGTTTACGAATTTATTGCTGTTTTTTAAACGGTTTAGCGTAATATTATACGTAGGATGGAAAGATTGAATTTGAGAAAATCGAGTGGGATATCGAAGTCGTTGGGAACGATTATTTCGATCTTGGGTGCATCGATTGTGACTCTGTACAAAGGACCGGCGATCATGAATAAGGCACTGACGTTGAATTCTTCGGCAATTATTTCTTTGCCGGAGCAAAATTGGGTTCTCGGTGGAATTTTGCTAGCAATTGCCGCCTTTTCCACTGCAGCGTGGTCTATAGTTCAGGTTCGATTTATTGCATTTTTTTAGGGCATTTCGGATATATAAGAAAATGGCGAAACTGATATTATTATGCCCTTGGTTCGATAATTGCAGAGTTCGATTCTCAAGATATACCCTGCGGAGATGATTATAGTGGCTGTATATTGCCTCTTTGTGACTATGCAATCGACAGTAGTAGCTTTGATAGCTGAGAAAGATATGACAGCTTGGAAACTTCAAGCCGATATGGGATTAGTTGCTGTACTTTATGCGGTGAGCAAATTATTTCAAGATTAGTTTTTGGGATATTTTGTCGGGATAAAAATTCGCAGCCTAAGTTTAGATTCAATTTTTTGGGATTTAGACTGAATATATTTATTGCAATGCACGACTGTTTCTCGATTAGGGCAGTGATAACCATATAGAAGATTTAGTAAATAAATGCAACTATTTATATCAATGGCAACTAAACGCAGAACTTGTTCAATGCAGGGAATAATCAACGTAACATATCGACTCTACATAATGTCATGGTGCCTTACGAGAACGGGCCCACTATTCGTATCTTTATTTAATCCATTGACGATCGTTATTTCTGTTGTCATTGGAGTCATCTTTCTTCACGAAGTTCTCTATTTCGGAAGGTACGGTGGCGCCTTGCTCGTTTTTTCATTCTTCTCAACTTTCTTGATTTTCATCGACAAAATCAATTAAAAAGATTTTGTTTTTTGCAGTGTGGCTGGGGCAGTTGTATTAGTTACCGGATTCTACGCAGTTATTTGGGGTAAGGCGAAAGAAAGGAAGATAAATGTAGAGTCGACAAGCGAAGAAGAGGTCTCTTTATTGCAAGATGGTATTGAACAAGCCTAAGATAATGTCCTAGAAAAAAATACGGGAGTCGAATTTTTTCGATGTGTAGTATTAAGGAAAATTGTATTTCTTGAAGATGTATAGAGGTTATTTTTTTCTGTAAGTAGAGGCAGTGAACTTACAACTGTCAAATTGTATTTTCTCAAAAAAAATGACGGTTTGATTGTAGATTATTAAATGTAAAATTTCAGACATGGATTGCACTCTGATGTAATAAAGTTTGGGTTGAGCACATGTTCATTTATTTATGTTTCAATTAACTTCCATTTCGAGAGTGCTAATTTCAATCCGATTTTATATTGATTTCTGTTTCATTTAACTTCCATTTCGAGAGTGCTAATTTCAATCTGAATTATTTATTTATTTAATTACACATAAATTCAAACCGCTACAATTATAATTTATATTATATGATATACAATATTCTTCAAAAGAAATTCCTTCAGAAAATAGGTTTATTTTTATTTTTAATTTATAATTAAAAATCAAAGCATAAGCCGCCAGGGATTATTAGACAGCAACTCCCTGGACCCACAGCAATGAATACTAATATAGTAATATAGTTATTTATCCAAAAAGGAATACTATATATACGGTCAACTTGTGCACAAATCATCTACATATATTATAATTATTATTTAATTCTATTTTTTAATCTTGCACAAATATTTGGTTACTCATCCACATTTTTTATTGGCAAGATTGAAACTTCTTCTGCAAAAACTATTGGAAAAAAAAAAAGATTCCCTATTTCTGCAAAAGGGATAATCAGAGATGGCAACTAGGCAGCAGCAGCCGCCATGGATTCAGAGCTCACTGCCATTCGTAGGCATGACGTCAGCAGTCGTAGCTTTAGCAGTAAACATGATTATAAGCAAAATGGCCATGTCTGAAGGGACAAGCTTTTACATCTTGTCTGTATATTCAAATGGCTTCGCCACTCTCATTCTTTTTCCTACTGCCTTTCTCTTTCACAGGTATGCTTGTTTGTTTGTATATTAATTTCTACCCTGCTTTATATTTCTTGTGGGCATCTCTAATTTTGCTCAATTGTGGTTAAAGATTTGATTTTTATTGGGTAATTTGGTAATTTTGTGGCAGGTCAAAGCGTCCGCCATTGTCGTTCCCTGTTCTTTGGAGGATTTTCTTGCTTTCTTCTTTTGGGTTAGTTTTAAAAATTCGATCTTTACTGTTTATTACCATTATTCAGTATGTTGCATTTTGCCTTTTTAATTATTGGGATTTTAGTCGAAAAGCTATAGCATAGAATGCATAATTGTCGATTTTTTTCCGAGCTTCCGAGGAAACATTTAATGTAAAACTCGATGAAAAAAATGTCGGCAGATCGATCATCTTGAAGTTTATTGCTTACAGAATGTGAATAATAAGCAACAATGGTTTATGAATTTTCTTGGTAGATGTTTTGCGGAGATTGGCAGTTATGCCGGCATAAACTATAGCTCTCCGACACTCGGTACAGCCATGTTGAATCTCGTTCCTGCGTTCACTTACATCCTCGCCATTATTTTCTGGTAGTGTTATATTCTCGATTCCTTTAGTCATTCATGGAAGATTGATTTGTGATTTAATTGGTAATAATAACTTGTTTTTAGGATGGAAGAAGTAAATTTGAGAACATTAACTACAATTTCAAAGTCTATCGGCACCGTAGTATCAATTTCCGGTGCATTTATCGTGACTTTCTACAAGGGTCCCGCTCTCCTCAATATTCCGTTAACTTCGGAACCTTCTACACAACTCTACTTGCCCGTCGCACAAAATTGGATCGTGGGAGGTTTCTTGCTTGCCTGTGCCTCGTTTTTGACTGCGTCGTGGTGCATACTACAGGTTTGACTTCAAAAAGAGAAAAAGGAAACGATGAAACTTAATTAACTCGACATTTTATTTATTTTTCGTCACTACTGTTGTAGGCTTCGATACTGAAGATG